TCTTCTACCAAGACTTAACTGATCTATATGTAGCCTTCTACCAAAGCATCTAGTGTATGTGTGTGCCTCTTATAAGAGTGTGTATTTTCCCAAGTGTGACTATCATTAACCAAAAATATAGTTTCTACATTGTCGTGCATCGTGTGTGTGTTCACGAAGTGAATGTAATGGGAAAATGAGATAGTACTATGGTGTAGTGCCGAACTACAGCCGTACCAATTACCTTAAGTCTAGGGTAATTCTTCTAAGTAATGTAGCATTTGAAATAAATAACTACATCGGTACTCAACTGCCTTATTTGAGGGATAAGGTATAACGTGATGTCTAGATCCCAGGCTATACACTCCCCTATCAAAGGGATTTTGAGACCTACCCACGACGCCTGCATGTATGCAAGCTGTGAGCATCCACATTACTATGATCATGTATACTCGATATAACTATCACAATTGCGTTGTGATTCATCGGTATAGTTAGATCTTGAACTGGTTCCATGCTATAGTAGCTAGTGATGTCTGTCCTATGTATATGTAAGGGTACTCATGTAAGTGTGATCATGTAATTGTACTCATGTAAGTGTAATCATGTAGTTCTACTCATGTAAGTGTAATCATGTAATTGTACTCATGTAAGTGTAATCATGTAAACATATCTATCTAATAGTATAGTAATGTACTGTAATGTTCTGTATGTACTAGTTGTAATGTGTGTTCTCTCTCTATCTAGCAAGTATTGACTCATGAATGAACTGACTCATTGTATGATATCGCGTTCTAGTAATAGTTCTAGTATCTTCCTATACTACCCCTATGATAGTTTACTAGTAATCTAACTGGTACGTACGAACATGGATGTATACCGTTGCTACCCAAGGGCATTGGATGAACTGGAAGGACCTTTATGACTATATATGTACAAATGATATATAACTAATATTTAAACGACATTCGGATGGGTACCCGATATCCCACCAGACCACATCTCAAGCGCGAAAAGGAAATAAGGTGGATATCCTTCCTAAGTCTTTTAAACATTTCTTATATAACTATACATATATAGGCATGCAATTGATAATATAAAAGCATAAAATAAGTTTGGTAAAACATTTAAACATAATTATTATCTAAGAAACGATCAACTTGATGTTAATCTATAAAACGGTTTGAAAGCATGGGTTTGATAAAACACTTTAAGTATAAAGGAACATTTGTTTGAACACAATTATCAATGAGTTTGAAATGAAGCATACAGAGGAAAGTGTACAACTTAATAAGGACTTTTAATCATATAAAATGTTTATGAAAAACATTTGAAGGAAACTGTTTGGTAAAATGGCTAATGAGTAGCCAATCATTTGAATGCTGCTTACTAATCACATGTGATTGATATAGTAACTAGCATAATTCTACTTGTATTCCCCCCCCCCCCCATAAAACATTTATGATTAAGGGTTATGAACTCACCTATTGTGGGTGATACGAATGAACTGAAGAGGTAGGACTGCTAAGTGTTAAGTGAAGACTTTAGACACACACAATGGTCCTAATTACATATGAAGACATATGTATATAAACAGTTAGTGATCATAACACTAACTAAACATGTATAAACATCCTAATGCAAGGAAAACACTTTTGGTCAAGTGCTAGGAGGCTAATGGGTTGCAACAAAGGAGCCCAAGACCTCATATGGAACTTTATGGTTAATAGACCATATGTGTTGGAGTTTACGGCCCAGGGGAGTAAACTCCTGGCTGTGAACTCTCTATAGGGTCATTAAATGAAGCTAAAAGCTATTACAACTTAAGTGGTGAAGTGCTTTAAGGCTTACTAGGGTGGGCTTCCTTTTAACTCCTTTGAGGAGTTCACGGCTCTGAGACCATATCCCTTGGAGATTACGGCCATAATCTCCCTTGGGAGAGTATTTGTGGTGTTTTCAAGTCCTCAGTTTAACTAGGAACTAAACTATGCTAGTGTACAAGACTGTAGAAGAGTTTATAGCACCATTTGGCACTATTGTTTGGAGTTCACAGCCCTGGAACTTCTTGGGCCGTGAACACCTTACTCTTTGTGTTATAATGGTGTTTTCTAGTCCTAAACTCATTAGGGTACATATCTAAATTCAATCCTAAGCCTTAGGAAGTGTTTGTGGCATCAAAACACCCCTAACTTGAGTTTTCGGCCCATGAACCATTTGGTCATGAGTTTGCAGCCATGAACACCCTTAGGTGTTGGCATTTTGATTATTTTGGGTTCTAGACACATCAAGGTAATGTGCTATGCTAGTCTCTTGGCTCAATGAAGGCATTTAGGGCATTTTGGCAACCTAAAATGGAGTTCACGCACAAAAACTTCCTTGGCCGTGAACTCACTTTCAACCTTTGATTTTTTAATGATTTTGTGGTCTAAACATGTCCTGGTAGTTCCTAGGTTGAGTTCCAAGGCTTAGAGGGACATTGGGCACTCTTTTGGCCCTTAAAAAGGAGTTTACTCTCCAAGTGTTCTTGGGCGGTAAACTCCCGAATCTTGGGATTTTGATCCGATTTTGATGTTATAAACTACAATCTAAGCTATATAATATAACTAGATAGAAGTACTCACGATTTGGGATAAAAACCCGAAGATCCGTGAGAGAGAATTCGACTTTTCTCTAGATGGAAATGCAACTAATGAATGAATATGGTTCAGATTTCTATTTATAGTCCTGAGATTTTTAGTAGAAAATATTTTATTCCCGGAATGAACTCTAATATCATTGAGTATTGGAATAACAGTGTTGCACAAAACCCTAGTGCATCCACTCTCCTGATATCTCCTTAAGTGCTAAACCTCAAATACTCAAACTTATACCCAAAGTCTGAAATTTCACTATAACTGTTCTAACTTCTATTGGTTTGATATGGTTTGTTCAGAATGGAAATTTCAGGTTGTCACATTTCTGCATTTAATGTTGCTGACATGATCAACTTGTTTCGCTTCCATCATGACATTCTCTGGATAAGATTGCCAATTGATTTCACAAACAAAATCATTCTAAGTGTTCATAACACATGTACCTCGATAGATATCTATATAACAATGCCACCACCAAGATATGGTGGTGTCCTTCAAGTACCTTGTAGAAGTCTTGATCTTCGTATCATCGTCCAATACACCTATCCCTTCAAAGTATTGCTCCATATCCAATAAAAGCCATCGAATACTCTAACTTGCCTTTTCTCCATGAATGTTGATAGTTTTGGGACTTTATTTTTTTTAGCATAGATGTTGGAGCAACCTAATCCGCTAACCAGTGTACGTTTTCAAAGTGTCCAATCTGTACGCACATCCTCTACTCATTGAGTCAAAATACAGAGCTTACCTTGCACTTGCTCATACAATTTAGCCACCTCGTGTAGGAACAACTCGTGTAAGTTTCATATCTCTTTGCGTAAGTCTCCACCAAGTTGATTGATCGCTCCTTTCATGTTCTCTTGCATTTCTTCATTTTCTAATTCCATCATGCCCATTTGTTGATGTACATCCTCAACTTGAACACGCAACATCTCCATAATGGTATTAACTTCGCCGACTCTCTTTTCTAAGGATACCCATATATCCTTAGACTTACCTGGTCCCTTGCTTTCACCATGACGAGTCTCCTCTCACGCTCGGTTTTCTTCATTCTCCATGACACTAGGCATCACCGACACCAATCTTCTCCATCTCACCCACCATACCTACATTTAGTTGATTCGCTCTTATACAACTTGGCACAGACTTGACTCTTGAAACTCATCGTACGACACTTAGTCCTCAAACTAAGTCATCCTAACTCGAATCACCACACAAACCAAAGGAAGGGAGAAAGTAGCTCAACACTTGAAAGCTCTTTATTGCTCTAGAGAAATGAAACTTAATTACAAGGTAAGGGAGAAATGAAATAGGAGAGCCCTATATATACAAGAGGCGAGCACTACTAGGAACTAATGGGCATCTTCCAGAATGTTTATAGAAGACGTCTATTCATGATTCTTCCATGGAGTTTTTAGAGATCTTCTAGAATCTTTCTAGAACTATTCTAGAGGGAACTAAAATAACTACAAAATATTTATGAATAATGCGGGTCGTTACACTTAGCCTTCTTCCATAAAACGGGGAAAGGCTGCCGAAGATAAGGATGACATGGAGATTCCTCAATCTCCTCCAAAGACAAATTCTCGAAAAAGCTTATCCCTCCAAATATCCCTCTAAATCTTAATTAAGAGGTTCGTCTACAAAAAACAACATTGAAGATGAGGAAGAAAGCATCACCGAAGAAACGTCGACCGAAGAAAACCCTAAGTCTCCTCCAAAAACAAAAACTCACACTCCTCCAACAAAAACACTGACTCCATGTCTGAGGATCACATTGATGACTCTGCAGCCACTAAGCAAAAAAAGAGTAACCGGAGAGCGGCCAAGCTAGAAGAATCAAGGACATGATATCCTCTTGGATGAAACCCTAATGTAATATATATATATATATATATATATATATATATATATATATATATATATATATATATATATATATATATTAAGGAATATAAATATACATTTATATTATAAATGTATATGTGAGTGTAAGAGTGCAAAGTAAGCATGCCAAGCAAAGTCTAGTCCATGTCTTACAAGTACCCCCTCCATGTATTAGAATAAAAAGCAAAGCAAGACGCCAAGACCCAATCATCTAGTTGGGCCCAAATGGGTCATGCGAACTGGGTTGGGGCTTGTAACATGTAACATGGATCTGTCTTCCGGGTCTGCACCTTGGGTCCGTCACCTATGTCCGTCAATTGTGTGCTGTGTGGTGACAACCTTGGTCTGTCCGCTCCTACTCTCGTCGTTCTTCCTACGCCCATCAACAATTAACAACAATGTCGTATAAAACAGTTACAACTATAGGAATGTGTTACAAGAGATGTAGAACTACATAGTTCACTTGGGATTGGTCATTATTTTCATCATTAAAAACTTTATCATTGGTATTCTTCCATATAATACATAGGTACAGTAATATAATACAATCTTGCTAACCTAGGACTACAATTGGAAACAAATATCCGCATGTGCCTACTTGTAGTTATCTTTCGACACCATGGCTAACAACATCATCATCTACACCTGAATCTGTTCCAGTGCCTGAATGACATCATTAGCTGTAGGCCTGTCCTTAGGGTCATACTCAACACACTGGAGAGCTAATTCCATTATCATGACCAATGAATTGCCATTGAAGGATGTTTCCTGAATGAGTTTCTCGTCAAACACTTTAGCAGACCAGTTTTCTTTTGGTACTGATCTTACCCATGTCGGCAAATCAACTGAACTTTTTCTTCTCTTAGCAGACTCTCTAGACAAAAGCTGTAACATTATAATTCCTAGGCTATATATGTCAACCTCTGCTGTTGCATTCACTGATCCGCTGAATTCAGGTGCACAATTGTTTCGAACCCTTTTTCTTGTGGCTGGCATAAGCTGTGAGAGACCAACATTAGCAATCACGGGATTATAATCCTCATCGAGCAATATCATGCTCAACTTAAGGTCTCCATGAATTATCTTCTCTTGAGTGTGAAGGTAGAGGAGGCCTCTTGTGATTCCCATAATTATATTTATCCGTTGTGGCCACTCAAATGGAGTTATAGACCCATGCTTAATCCGGGAAGCTGCATACAGAAAGTTAACTTATAAGCAAACCCCTATTATTGATCGTAAAAAGATATTAGAAATATTTATGGATAAACTTACATTTTAAGAGAGACGCAACACTCCCATTAATCATAAATTTAAAGACACATAATGTCTCTCCTCTACCCCAGTAATAGGCCTTAACATCCAATACGTTCATGTGGCGAATCTTTCCAAGGGCAGAAACAGCAGTAGCAAAATTATTTTGGCTTAATTGAGTTAGTATGCGTTTAACAACAACTTGAGAACCATCTGAAAGATATGCTACATATGTCCTACAGTAAGGTTTTTCATTTAGAATCTTGGCAGATGCTGTAAGCAACTCGATTAGACTTAACTCAAACCCACCATCGAAATGAACCATATGTCCACCAGATTCATAGTCTGCATCAACTATAGAAGTCGCTAACACAACAGGTTTTCTTATTGCCAAATAAGAAGTTATTGAATTGATCAATTTTGGAACATCAGCTTTAAAAAAAGACAATGCCTTCTTGCGCACTCTACCTTTTGCAGCAGAAGGATCCACCTTTTTTTGTAAAGACAACGCCAACTCAAGCTTTGCTACAACTTCCGCCATTGTTGGCCGTTTATTTGCATCAGTATGCAAGCATCTAACTGCGATCTTTGCAAACTCCTTCAAACAATTACTCGATATTCGCCTCCTCAATCTAGAATCAATAATCTTGGATAATTTTCCTTTTGTAATACGTTCTTGAGCCCATTTTGCTAGACCCCATTGCTCTTCTTTAAGAGTTGTGTCCACAGCAGGCCTCCCACATAACACCTCTAAGAGTACAACACCAAAAGCATAAACATCAGATTTACTTGTTAGTTTTTTCGTAAGGAAATAAGTTGGATCTAGATACCCGAATGTCCCTTTGACTCCTGTGGTAACAGAAGTATTGGTGGGGCCCACTTTCGCCAACCCAAAATCTGCGATTTTTGCAGCGTAATTGTCATCTAACAAGATATTAGATGTCTTCACATCACGATGTATTACTGCTTGTTTAGTTCCGGTGCCTGTGTGGAGGTAATCTAATCCACGAGCAGCACCTATACATATATTGAGCCGCAATAACCATGAAAGAGTGGCACCTTTACGAAGACAATCTTCAAGTGTTCCTTTGGGCATATACTCGTAGACAAGAATCATCTCGTTTGCATCTTTACAATAACCAATCAAAGAAGCTAAGTTACAGTGCCTCAATTTAGAAAGCATCTCAACTTCAGCCCAGAATTCCAAGGCCCCTTGATTTGAATTGGAATGCAACCGTTTCATGGCTACAAGGACATATGTTTCTCCAATCTTGATAGAACCTTTATAAACCTTCCCGTATCCACCTTGACCTATGACGGATTCCTCATCAAATCGATGGGTGGCTATCTGAATCTCTGAGAGGGAAAACTGGCGACATGGTTGTGTTTGTGAAGTTTGGTCCTGGGTATCTTCCATAGCAATAGGTTAATAATATGTTGTGAAGAAAATCAAGAGTTGCAACTACAAATGTTGGAGTGCAGAAAGTTTGCTTTGTAATTGCGTGATTTGACTTTATTGTGTCTCAAGTTGAATATATCTCCCTATCTACTAAACAAAACCATATGTCCACTGTCCCTTCAAAACATCAAAATTTTGCAAAAGTTAAATACCCATTATACCCCTACTTGGTTTCACATTGAATACAATTCGATATCAAATCCATATAAGGCCTGTTTTGTTTCAATTTTGTCTCCATTTTTATAGGTGATAACAGGTCTAGTCATTAACTCAAATTCTGCACATACCTGATTAATAGAAGGTTATTATGATCCGATTTCTTAAATAAGGTATGATATCAATCAATCGATTACATTTAATTGAAATTATTATGTCAATTGTCGATTTTATCATAAACTGCTCAATATATATTTGAAATATATGATATCAACGTTCCTATACAACATCGTTTTTCCAAGGTTTTGCATCATCGACAATTCAGTTTTCGGATATTCAATACACAGTTCAATCCTTTTGATAAGTTTATGCTTCTCAATGTGTATATGTATTTGTTTTCTCCAACTAAATTGTATTTTGTAAGTCCCTGTTTCCCACTCATGGTTTCACTTTTGAGTTTGATTTTGGCATCTGGTGACCTTTTTTCAATTTGTGGCGGTCAACAGATCGCTAGGTCATCACCGCCCCTGCATTAAAGAACTGTACCCTTAAATTCGGGAACACCATTTGATTTTTGAAGCTTAGCGGTGGATAATCGAGGTATTTAGGTATGGACAGACCATACAAGAATCCAACATAGTATAATCAGATGTAACTGAAATCTTCTGCTATAATTTTCTTTTTGTTCACTGTTACTTAAAGTGGTTTCATGAATCTTTATCCTCCACCATGTGTTGTCTTTAATTTTTACTCATTATCTGCAACGAATCCTTTTCTTCTTGTATCGTGGCATTATTTGTTTATTTTGTTTTATTACCAAGATTTAAAATGAGTGAAAACTTAAATAATTAGAGTACTATTTATATGTAACGTTTGAGAATTAAAGCAAGTTAAATTTAAAATAATTATTTATAACAAAAAGAGTGAAATTCAAAAAGAATTATGTATATATATATATATATATATATATATATATATATATATATATATATATATATATATATATATATATATATATATATATATATATATATATATATATATATATATATGTTCAGGTTCATTTGAGACCATTCTAATTTTGTGAGACCGTGAGACCAAATCTAAAAATAATTTTAAAATGCAAAATAAATAGAAAAATCCAAAAATTCTTTTTTTAAATATTATTTTCGGAATTTGATCTAACTAAAAAAAATAAAAAAAAATCCTTTTTTTAAAAAAAAAAAAATACGTGAAATATTCTGAATAGAATATTAACTGACATATTCTAAAAAATAATTTTAAAATGCAAAATAAATGGAAAAATCTAAAAATTCTTTTTTAAATATTATTTTCGGAACTTGAATTAACTAAAAAAATAAAAATAAAATAAAAAAAATCCTTTTTTTTTGAAAAATACTTGAAATATTCTAAATAGAATATTATACTGTACATATTCTAAAAATAATTTTAAAATGCAAAATAATTGGAAAAATAAAAAAAATTCTTTTTTTAAATATTATTTTCGGAAGTTGAATTAACTAAAAAAAATATAAAAAATATAAAAAATAAAAAAATGCGTCTCACGGTCTCACAAAATTAGACCGTCTCACATGAAACTAACCCTATATATATATATATATATATATATGTATATATATATATATATATATATATATATATATATATATATATATATATATATATATATGAGTTTATTGTTTTTTTATTTTTGTTTTTTATCCCTTCTTGGTTGACCACGTGACCCAAGAATTGGACTTCACGAATCCAAAAATCACATTTGGAGAACTTTGCATACAACTTCTCCTTCTTCAAAACTTCTAACACTTATCGCAAGTGTCTGCCATGCTTCTCTTGGTTTTTCGAGTAAATCAGAATGTCATCTATAAACACTATCACAGATTTGTCAAGGAACGGATTACAAACCCTATTCATTAAATCCATGAATGCTGCTGGAGCATCGGTTAGCCCAAACGACTTAACCAAGAACTCGTAGTGTCCATATCTAGTTCTGAATGCAGTCTTCTCGATATATTGCTCTCTTACTTTTAGCTAATGATATCCTGACCTAAAATTGATCTTCGAGAAATAGCTCGAACCTTGCAATTGATCAAATAGGTCATCAATCCTCGGCAACGAATATCTATTCTTTATTGTTTCCTTGTTCAGCTCTCTGTAATCGATGCACATTCTCATACTTCCATCTTTCTTCTTCACAAATAACATCGGAGCTCCCCAGGGTGATGAACTAGGTTTAATGAAACCTTTGTCCAATAACTCCTGAAGTTGCATCATCAACTCCTTCATGTCCTTCGGTGCTAATCGATAAGGTTCTTTTGCTGTTGGCGTGGTCCCTGGTAACAAGTCTATTCTGAACTCCACTTGTCTATCAGGTGGTAATCTAGGAAGATCTTCGGGAAATACTTCCGGATAATCACACACCACTGGAATGCTTTGCATCACCTTCTCTTCCTTATTAGCATCAATCACGAATGCTAAGTATGATGTACATCCCTTGGTCAAACACTTTCTGGCTTTCAATAGAGAAATGATTCCAGAATTTACTCTGCGTTCGTCCCTATACACCATAAACGAATCTTTCCCAGGCGGGTTTACTTTAACTATCTTCTTCTTGCATAATATTTCGGCATCATTGGCGCTAAGCCAATCCATTCCCAACACGATGTCGAAACCATTAAGTTCGATAGGCAATAATTCATCGTGAAACTTATTCCCATTAAGGTCGATTAAGATGTTTTTCATATGATGGCTAACAGGTACAAACTTGACACTAGCAACTTCGACTAATAAAGCATTATGTAGTCTATGAATAGGCAAAGCTAGTTTTCTACCAAACTCATACGAAATAAAGGAGTAGTTGGCTCCACAATCAAACAAAATTTGAGTAGGCAATTCGTTTACGAGAAGGGTACCTAAAGCGACATCAGCTTCATCTTTCGCAACCTCAAGTGTCATTTGGAAGGCTCTCGCCTTCGGCTTTGGTGGAATGTTGGGATTAGCTGCCTCCTTCTTCTTCGGATAGTCTTTCAAAATGTGCCCCTCTTCATTGCAACCAAAACACATCCTTTTGTTGTTCGGACACTCATTGGCAAAATGCCCAATCTTTCCACACTTGTAGCAGGTGACATCCTCACTACATTTCCTAAAGTGCTTTTTCTTACACTTATCACACCATTTTGCTTCGCCTCCTTTTCCTCTAAACTTTTTCGAATCAGATTTTGAAAATTTGCTTCTCTTATCGGAACCAGATGTTCCCTTAAACTTTCTCTTCTCACCAACTTCAACCTTGTCGGTGGTTCTCCCCTTAATCATGTTCTCAACAGACTTAGCAGCCCAAATAGCTGCCTCTAGAGTAGGTGCCTGACGAACTAGCACTGGGTACTCCCATGAGAGTCCCTTTGCGTACCGGTCAACCTTTGTCAGCTCATCTAGAACGATGCGCAAGGCAAACTCCATCTTGTCTGTAAAGTTATTAGTGTATTCATCAACTAACATGCTGCCTTTCGTCAATGTCAGAAATTTATTCTCTAATTCCAACAGATTTTGAGCCGAGCAGAACTTGCGCTTGAACTGATAAATGACTTAGACTCATGAACATGAGATGTAATCCATGTATGAGAATCAAGTACGAGCTTGATTAAAATTTATCCCTATAGCAAGGCTAGAAGGAGTAAATAATTCTTCTAGAAAGAATAAACTACATGGATAACCATACACATTTAAAGCAACACTTGTAGTAAAAAGGATTCTCTCATACTCATGTCATTGAGTATGATCATCATCATACTCATGACATTGACTGTGGTTAGACCTTTTTCACAAGTAGTTATGATTAGATCAACAAGGATATTATTTACTATGAATTCATATTCTTAATATGAGATATAGTAAATAGGTTTGAAGATAGATGGCTTTTTTTTCTTAATGGACATCTACTAGAAGATATCTATATAGATTAGCCTGGAGGTTTTCTTAATCCATGTTATCCTAACAAAATATGTAGAGCTTAAGATCCACTTGTGGATATAAAGAAAGCATCTCAATGTTACATTCATCATTTTACGTAGAACCACAAGGTATGTTTTTTATACTAAAATGAATAGAACATGTGTGTTTACTAAGAACTAGTGGGAGAATTAATGAAATTCCTAATCTTGTATGAATAAGACATATTTAATCATTTGAAATCATATTCTGATTAAGCAAAGTCGTTTTCGCCTTGACTCGGAAATTGTTTCTAAAATGAAAGACTTGGGAAGGAGAAGACGCATTCTTGGAATGTAGAATCTATAAGGGATAGATAAATTGAATGTTAAAAGTTTCATGTCCTTATACATATATTGTCAATATCTTGAAAGAGATCATGACACAAGATTATTTTGGAAGATTCTTGGCATTGTCATATGAAACCATTTTTAGTTGGCCTCAAAAGTGTATAGCTCATAGGCTTGAACTAAATGAAATGATTTATATTCTATTTTCTTGGCAAATGAATTCATCATTTATTTCATATTATGCATGGGACATGGTATTTGATCATTTTATAAGCATGTCATAGGATATTAATTGAATACATGATTAAGTCATTGGATGACTAAGAGAGCATTCTAAGAGTACTTTAGAAGAAGTAAGAGAATGCAAATGAGACAATGAGTTTAGAAAGGATCTTTATGGAAAGAGCTACACAATATGTTAATTTCTACACATATATAAACAATTATGAATTATAATTGGATTTAACTTCATTATGGAATGAAGGGTAAGTCTTGTTGGAATGAAAT